ATCCTCTTAAGCAGGACCGGGGAGGTGGCTCAGTAGAATAAGCGCTTCCCTGGTAAATGCAAGGTCCAGAGTTCAATCCCTGGGTCGGGAAACCTTGGAGAAGGCCGAGAAGCCAGCAGCACGTGGGAGGGCCCCCACCCCCGCTTCACTGGGGCGGGAACCTTGCAGACGTTCAGCATTGTGCATCTTCACCACCACAGCCTCTACCCACCAGGCATCCTGCCAGGACGAGGTCTCAGCCCTCCTCCTCTCCACTCTGACCCCCGGGACTCCGTGGGGCCTGAGGGCTCCCATACTCACAAGGACCCCTCACTGAAATGAGCCAGAAAAGGCTTGGAGAAATAAACGACTCGCCCAGCACCTTTGCTCCGAGGCTAGCTGGCCGCGTTCATCCCCCGCTCCATGCCAGGGTGCTAGGGATGGTTATTCTGGGTTTCTCCTAGCTCTTCCTTATCCCTGGACCTCTGTCCCTACTGCCTACTGTCATGTGCTGTCCAAAGAGGATAGGACTCAGGGATAACTACTTCTTCTACAACTAACCATTTCTTCTACAACTGCCTGAGTTCTTAAATTACTCTCCTCAAGAGTTTCTTCTTCAGCCCGAAATCCTGACCATTTCTGTACCACTGAACACATCACTAGAAGTCTGCTAGGACTGCAGGATCCTGGGTTCTGCCCGGGCCCAGCAATGCAGATCTGCAGGTGACTCGTGTGTAACTGAAGTTGGAACGCCCGCTGTCTCCAGCACTTCTCTCTCAGAGGCTGTCCTGATGGAAGCAAATCACCCTAAATGAAGTGATTTGCAACCCTGGTTGCATTGAGAATCAACTTCATGCTCCAAAACATGATGCCTGAGGCCTGACTCCAGACCTATTAAACCAGAATCTTTACTGGGGTGGGGCTTATTTATTTATGTATTTTTAAATGGCTATGGCTATAGTTCAATGACTTGGCCCCTGCCTGGCAAGCATGAGGCCCTGATTACATCATTCCCAAGAAAGAAAGAGAAAGAAAGAAAGAAAGAAAGAAAGAAAGAAAGAAAGAAAGAAAGAAAGAAAGAAAGAAGGAAGGAAGGAAGGAAAAGAAAAGAGAAAAGAAAGAATATAAGTGGACTATGTGGCTAAAACCATTGCTTTAAAGATTTAAATATTCTAGGAGGATATTAGGAGAAAATAAAACTATTCTAAATAATCAGGTAGGCACAATCCTATAATGGTTTTCCATAATGTCCAGAATAAACTGCAACTCTCACCTTAGCACACCTGGCCTGTTTGGACTCTGAGTTCTGCTGACCTCTCTGGCCCCATCTCCTGGGCCTCTTTCCACCCCCAAGGCCTTCCCAGTGGAATTGGGGTGCCTGCCTCCCTAGGCCCTGCCATCCTATTCCCGAGCACCAGCGCCCATGTTCTCTTCCTTCAAAAGCCTTTCCCCATCTCTTTGCCTCAGGAGACTTGACTCTAGGAACTGCCCTTAGAAAACCTGCTATGAAAAAAAAAAAAAAAGAAAGAAAAGAAAGAAAGAAAAGAAAAGAAAACTTGCTATGGCTCCACTCTCCTTGGGGAAAAAGAAAGGTAGTACCTAGTTTCAAAATTAAATTTTGAGATTTTGTTCTAGCTACTGGTACTGATAGTTACATCTCAAACCCAGGGCCTCATGCAGACTTAGGAATTGTCTCCTATGAGCTGTTCTGTCTAAACAACCAGTCAGAAAAGGATAAACATTAAAATGTACTCATTTAGAGATGGTCCTTCAATGTTGTTTAAACTTCAAATTTATTTAAGCTCCAGTAAATACAAAGGCCAGTGTCCCTGGACATAGGAAATAGTCATTTTTGCCTCCTATAAAATTATTGTTGTGTACCTAACCAAAGAAAGAAAAAAAAGAGAGAGATAAAAGAAAGATTTTCTTTCACTAGAGAAGGACTTTTGATATATCGTGTAATTCTCACTCATTTGAAATGTAATTTGGGACATAAATTGCTTTTTCCCACTTTTTATTGATTTTTACCAACTCCATGAAATGAACATTGTTTTCCATTTATTTCTCTATGTCCTTCCCAGAATAGAACATGAGGAGAATTTTGGATTTACTTTTCATATTTTGTGACCTACTTTAGAATAGGTGAACTTTAGACCAAATTAAAATGAAAAGTTTAAAGGCCCCTGAGGAATGTTCAGACCTTCTCTTGCATGAATTATGTATGAACTTGTATGGAAAAGAATGTAAACACATCTAAAATACATGTTCAGTTCTCTCTTATTTTTCTTCTATCCTTTGGACAGACTAGAGCAAGCCAGTACCAAGGAAGTACATTTCTTCTCTTGGATGTTTTGTTCTCTAAATCATTCCTGCACTATCTGCCAAGAATTGGCTTGAAGGAGATGAAAAGCAGTGTTCTCTTTAAGGCAGGAGAACTGAGAGGCCCTAATTCGAGAAAATAAACACTTGGAAAAAAATCAACAATTGGCAATTTGCTTCATTTGTTTATAAATTAAGTATTTACTCAGGAACCACTATGACCTGCCAGGTAGGGAGATCAGCCCTTTTGTAAGTGACATCACCTCCCGTCAGCACTGTAGGTGCCAGCACAATCTCCTCTCAGTGGATTTCCCCTGCTTTGCTTCTCTAAAAGCTTTCTTCTCCAGGTGTCTTAGTTACTTTCTCATTGCTGGGACAAAACACCCGACACCCACAAGCTACAAGAGGAAAGGTTTATTTGTGGCACAGTTTTTAGAGGTTTCAGTCGATGGTTAGCTGGTTCCAAGGCAGAATGGTACAGTAGAGAGGCAACAGACCATGGCAGGGTAAGGAGAAAGCAACAGAAGCAGTAGAAACCCTCCCTAAAGGTTACCCTTCCAGGCTACACCACACCCAGGGTGGGCCTTCCCTTTCCCCATACCCAGAACTATGCTAAACCAATCAGCGGACTAATCCAGTACCACACACTCTTGATCCAGCCTCTTCCAAAAAGCCCCACCTATGAGTTCCTGAGGCTTTGGATCTAGGTGCCAGCCACATCATAAGGCTTCTAAAGTGTCATGCCCCCATCTATCCTCCTCTCTCCCTGACCACTTGATCATATACGTACAGTGGTACCTCACCTTACAAACTTGATTCTTCCACGATGTTGGTTGTAAACCAAATTGGACAAGAACCAAATCAAATGTAATGGCTAGGTTCAATGTTGACTGCCTGGGGAACTTTGATTAAGTTTTCATTCAGTTTGGTTTGCAACCAGAATAATGGAGAGAATTGAGTTTGGCAACCAAGGTATCACTGTAACTTCCTGTTGGATATTTTTTATGGTTTTATACCTGGATGTCCCCTCAAAATCTCATACACTCATACGTAAGGTTTTGGGGAGGTGTTAGGCTATGATGGCATGATCTTCATCAATGGACTAGTCCTAAATGTGATATAGGAAGGTGAAGCCTGGTGCCTGGTGGGAGGAGATGGGTCACTGGAGGCATAGTCTGGGAGTGCCAATCTCCCTCCCTCCCCCCTGGATCTCTCTCCTTTCTCCCACCATCATGCTATGAGCTCTTTCTCCTCTGTACACAGTCATACATCAGTGCTTTGGAGCCAGCTGACTACGGACTAAAGCCCTTAGAAACTGTAAGCCAAAATAGGTTTTCCTTCTCAGAGTTGTGGGTATTGGGCACTGTGTCTCAATAAGGAGAAAGTAACTAAAACAATATCACCATTTGGATGCCCAAGAGCCAGCTCAGAGAGAGCACCCTCTTCCCCAGGCCTCACACCAAAGCTGTTCTGCCCTTCTGTGTGCCCTATTTAGTCATTTGCTTTATTTGTTTGACCCAAAATCTAAATGTTAGAGGTTATTTTGGGTTGTAGGTTACAGAGTCCAACCTAACTGGTCAGCTTTTCAAGTAAGGGGAAGATCAGAGTCAGGGAACCAGGCTGTATGACTCTTCAGTGACAAGACTGTCACCTCTTCTACCATTTTGCATTCTGGTCCTCATGGCTGTAAGATAGCAGTCCCACTTCCAGCCTCACATCTACATTCCAATGGAAAGTATCCAAAGGCACCAAAAAGATGGAGCCTGAGTCTATAGCGGAAATAGAAAAATGCTCCCAGAAAGTCCTGGAGACATCTGTGTGTCTCACTGTCCAGAACTATGCTACAGGTCTGACCCCAAACACATAGAAACCTAGGAAATAGAGCTTTGGGGTCCGGTACATTGCTCTTTGTACAAACCTGGTTTTCTGCTTTGTGGGAGAGATGGAGAATGGAGGTCAACGGGTAAACAGCAGCAGTGCTGCCACCCGGTCCCATAACTTCAGCAGGTCCTTTTGGTTTCTCCTCCAAAACTCTGTGACCTGAGCACCTCTCCTCACCTCCTTTGCTGAAACTCTGGCTTGAGACACCACAGTCTCATCCACAGACTGTAATGACAGCTTCCTAAGTTGCCTCTGTCCTCCATTACTACTTTCTACATTCCTTTTTTTTAACCCAGTACCTAGAGTAATCCTATCAAGGTTGAAATATAAGGATATCACTTCCTTCCTTAAAATTCACCTGTTTTTGGTCTTTAGGGAATCGGTTGTAGTCTGAGTTCCCCAGAAGTAGACTCTGAGACAGGATTTGCAAGCAAGTCATTTATCACAGAGGTGTAGGAATGCAGGTTGGGGTGGAGCAGTGGGCCAAGGAAGGCAGGGAAGTCCTCGCTGCACACCAGAACTTTCCACAGGAGGAAGCACTAGGAGCTGCAGGATGACTCTCACCCCCATCACCACCCTGCCCTAGGAGTAGGGAGGGGACTTACACCCAACCCTCCAAGGCTTGCTGGCTTCAGCTCTGAGCCCTGAGTGTGCCCATAAAATGCCTCACCCTTGGTGGCTTTTCTGTGCACTGACCCACAAAGCTCCTTCCATTTGAGGCAGAATTACAGAGTACAGTGAGATCCAGTTTATTTTTTTAAACAGGGTAAGAAGTTCAAAATACAATTCAAAGATGAGAGTAATTTTTAAATTCCCCCAATTCTAGATTTGAAAGCAACCAAATTTTTGTGATGTTTTCTCTTTGTTAAATAAATGCATACAATATCTTTAATAATATAGGTAAATTTTACAGGTCATATAAGATTTGACATATTTATGTAAAGTCGATATACTAAGGTGCACATAATTTAATAATACCAGCTATAGCAATTACTTAGATGTATATTAAATGTATAAGTAATATTAACATGTCTATAGATCTGAATAGTATGACAGTAAGTAGTAACTTTGTATTTCTGCCTTTCATTTAGCTCACTACTTTATCTTTATTTTCCTTTCTTCTTCAATTGTTCTACAAAGTAATCATTACAAGCAACCGTCAGAGCTGCCACCATGACCACAAATTCATTGAAATCCACTTCGTTGTCCTTATTGGCATCCAGGTCCTGCATTATCTTATCAACCAGCTGGGGATCCTTTTGGCACTAAAAAGACAGAGAAAATTTCTAACTCTCAAGCTCTGAGGCTTAGGATGACAGTTGAAATTGCATCTTCCTTTAATTTTCATTTTAAAAGCCAAGGGCCATTCCCAGGAGCCTATCTGCAGAAAGGTTTCAGCCGGGCACACATTCTTAGAGAGTTGCATCCTTATCGCAGGCCTATATAGTGCTGGCTCAGACTGAAAGGCCAAAGACCGCAAACAGTAGCTGATCCAAGAGAGCTACTGATGCCAAAAATGCATTTCCGGCTGTCACAGCCCTGCGACCTGAGGCAGAGTCTCTGACGTCAGAAGAAGCTGGGGGCGGGGGGGGGGGCCCTCTGCCACTTACCAACAACCGCGTTTTGAGGAATCACTTAACGTTTTCAAATTTCTTTATTTATAAAGTGGGAAAAATAATATTTACCCACATACTTTGAGATACTTCAACACATTTTTTGAGAGTGCTTAGCACCATGGCTACTAGATCTAGCCAACAAAAATACAAGACAGCCAGTTAATTTGAATTTCAGATAAACAATAGATAATTGTTTAATGTAAGTATGTCCCAAGCATTTCACAGGACACAGAATATTTATCTGGCAATGCTCCTTAGTGAAATGTCCAACACATATGAGAAGACAACCAATAAAGAGCAAAGAAGAGTGACTCCAAAGCCAGGAGCTCAAGGAGGAGCTCAAGGTCATGAGGAGGCCCCACTGCTCCTAAGATTAGCAGTAAGGACAAATGTTTCTAAAAGCACTTTCCTTCCTCCAGGAATTCCCCAGAGCCTGCTCATTAGCTGACAGCCATTAAGTCACTGGAAACTTAAATTGATCAAGATTAATTTGATCCAAACAATTATAAATTTCACTTGAATATAGTAATGAACCAAGTTCTAAGTCCTACCTACAGAGGGGCCAAATGACATTGAGAGGAACAGATCCTACAGACACTTAAAATCACTAAAAAGGTCCTGTGAAAAATTATTGTGGAATCATTTTTTTAGTTGAAGCTTCTCACATAGAGGAAATGTAAACATTTCAGTTACTGCAGTCCTACAGTGTTGGGACAGTAGTGATATCATGTGACAATAGTCCAGTGTGCTAAAAAGTCAGCTCATAGGATTCCTTAAACACCAGAGCAAGGGGTCTCCTCAGTGGAATACAGCTTTCCCAGACTCCTGGGTATTTTGAGTTTGACTGCTACCAGCTGGTCCCCAGCCAGATGAGTCCTCTTCATACCCCCAATTGGTGTGTGCTTGACTCAGACAGCTCTCAAAGTAATTGTCATTCACTAGCAAATTTGCTATAGTACCCAGGTGGCATGTCAGGCACAAGACATGATGTCAATTTGCAGACTTCTGGACAACATCCCAGGTATAACCAGCTACAACTGCTGGTATAGTTAGCTATATTTTTTATTGCCTACCAAATGTTGACTAATGGATGTAAATCTCAACGCAATCATCAACCCTTGGAAACCCCTAGCCTAGGGCCATATAGGGAAGGTATATACACCAAAAATAAAGGTCTCTGCTGCTTGCTTCCCCCGCACTTGGAATATAAACACAAACTGTGCTCTTGACAGAACCACAAGACAGGATGTCTCCGAAGCCCTTCCTCACTTGGCCCACCGGGTGCAGCAGAGGACCCGACACTCACCGAGAGGAACTCTGTAAGCTCGCGCTGCAGGAGCAGCTTCAGTTCCCCTTTGTTGAGCTTGAATCTGTCCCCTTCCTTGCAAGAGTAGCAGTGAAAGATTCGAATCATGGTATCCATGGCCATCTCCAGCTGGGTGGGCATGTCGGCAGCAGACTGGACCACAGGGAAACAGGCAGCCAAAGCGAGGACACGGCCTTTGCTCGAAAGAAGCAGATGGGCAAACATCAGCACTTCCCTGAAGATGCCTCTTCCCTTCCCTGGGCCCACACACTACGCCACAGCGATCTTTTTGTGAAAGACATCATCCTGCCCCTTCCAGATCCCTGGCACCCCAAGACAAGCCTAAGCTTCAACACGATCACAAGGCAGCAACCTAATCACAAGTATGGAACCACATTAAAACACAGAATTGAAAAGCAACTAAAACCAGGAAGAAAATGCTACCTTCGTACCTGTTCAGCCAGGACCCGCTCCGCCGACAGGTGTTTACAATGAAACTGAGCAGCTATCCCGGGGCTTCCTCCCTGCCGCACCTGTGTCCCACAGGGAACAATTACCAGTGACACCCTGTGTGCCTGTTTTTAATCAGCAGAAGGAACAGATGTGAACTGCTGCCCCAAGGGCCATGGGCCCTGGCATCCGCTCTGTGCGCTGGGGAAGCCAGGGCAGGGAAGGGGCAGCTGGTAGGTCCCTCTCAAGAGAGTAGGGAGAGACGAGCAGGCAGTTGCTAGGATCTTGGCTGGGAAAAAGCCTAAAACTAGAAGGGCAACTCTGAAACCCTGGTCCAAGGCTGAGGGTGCCCCAGAAAGGCCAGCAGCAAGGGCAAGGGCAGGAACTGGAGGCAGCCTGGAGGGACTAACCATGCAGGCATCAGGAAGAGACTGTGCAGGTGCCAATGGAGAAAGGAGCAAAGCAGCCAGCGCTGCTGTGTGAAATAAACACGAAATAGGAGAGCACGCGTGCATGCGCTTACTTGCTTTTGCCCAGATGTCTTGGAAACGATCTAGAAGAAAAGAACCAATTGGTAGTTATGAGGCCTGGTAGGGAGGGGGACAGAATGGTTGGAAGTAAGACTTCGTCATGTACAGCCTTTTCACTAATCTAAAAATCATTTTAGAAATAGGAATGCATTACCTCATCCCGAAATGGAGATTGTACAGCATGGTGATTCATTGCCTATAACCCCACTTCCTCACCAGCCTCACCATGCTGAAGCAAAGAGGATCTTAAGTTTAAAGCCAGGCTGGGTGATTTAGCAAGACTGTCTCAAAATAAAAAGTGAAGCAAGCTGGGGGTGCAGCTTAGTGGTACACCATGCCTGGGTTTGATTGTCAGCTTTGCAATCGAGCAAGCAAACAAGCAAAACTGAGATTAAGACAAAGAAACAAACTGCAAAGCAGCACGTGTACAGGAAGCATGAAGCCGACGCCGACAGAAAGCCTTCATAAAGTGTCCCAGAAAAGCCGAAGTCAGAATTGGGCTCTGTGCTTTTAAGCACTGCCTGTTTCTGGACTGAAAGTTATTTCCACAGAAACAGGGCAGTATCCCCTTCATATTCCCTTAAACAATCCACGACAATGTAAGTGCAGCCGGCCCATTCACCTGCCATCTCAATGCTGGGCACTGCACTCTCACCTCCTGGTGAGGCCCTGGGAGGCCTGAAGCCAGATTTTTTTTAATTTTTTTATTTTAGGGAAGGGTCTTCGGGGTGTTCAGGGTCTCACTACTAGATTGGACTCATAGTGATCCACCTGTTTACAGCCTCCCAAAAGCTGGGATTACAGACACATACCACCACGCCCAGTCTCGATTGCTGTCTCAGCCTGCCCTGGGAGCAGGGCTGGCACGGAAGGCCCGGGGATCAAATCCCAGGCCCCTGCACCTGCTTGCAGGTGCTTTAATCCACGGAGCCATTTGGCCATCCCCCTAAAGCCAGATTCTTGAGAACATGTCCAGTTTATCACTATAGTAATCATGCATGTGATAACATAATGACATTCTGAATATTCAAGAGTATGAAGAAAGTAAAATCCCTCCTCCTCTTCTCCCACCCGAGAGCAAACTCTGTGACTTTTCCCAAGTGAGAGGCATATTTGTGAGGTTAAAAAGCTTGACCGTCTGGCTTTAATTCTAACCTCTGCCACTGAGGAGCTGTATGATTGGCCTCAGTTTCCACAGTGGTATAAATGTAGCAATACCTGCACAATAAGAAGGAGCAAATGAGTCAAAATGTTTCTGGAGTGCAGGGCTCTGCTTATAGCAGCTATCATTACCCTTATGAAATATATATTATTTATGTAGCTATTGCATGCATATCTTTATGCACTTATATCAATAGCATCAACATGCACGCGTATACATCAATAGTATCAATATGTATGCACTTTTTCTTTTCTTACCACATCTTTAAAAATTGTTCTCTAATTCCTTAAAACACTAAGAATTGGATCTGGCTGTGCTACTTCTCAGTACAGTGTACCCCCACGAGGACAGAGAACTGTGCCCAGTAGTGGCACCTGCATTCACACAGTTCCATGGGGAAGCCCGCAACAGTGGAGCTGTGGGAAAACTGGACACCAGAGCAAATGGACGGATGAAGAAAACATGGTACAGGGCTGGCGAGATAGCCCAGCAGACTAAGTGCCTGCTTGGGCAAGCACAGAGGCTGGGGTTCAATCTCCAGTACCACATTCTGCGCCAGTCTGCCCTCGTGAGCTGAGCCGGCCACTGAGTCCAGGTGTGCTGGTGCATGCCTGTAACCCCAGTGCTGGGGAGGCTGAGACAGGAGCATCACTACGAGTCTGAGCTGTGGAGTGAGACCCTATCCCAAATACATTTAAGAAAAAGAAAACATGGTACTCATGTATCTCATGCACAGTGAGATACTGCATGGCCAGAGAATAATAAAGTCGTATCACTTTCAAGAAAATAAATGGAACTGAAGACAATCGTGTGAAATGAAATAAGCCAGATTCAGAAAGCTAAATATATGAGCAACCTAAAAATAGAAGTAAGAAGGAAGAAATGACAGGAAAGTAGAAGACAGCTGATTGGCTGTGATGAAGGGGCTGGAAGAGCAAAGGAAGGGGGAGACGAGGAGTGGCGGGGTGCTCCTTAATAGTGATGCATCACCTTGGCTTGCTTCAGGCCCCAGCAGGTTAGGAAGCTCTGGGGTATCTGTGAGTGACTGACACATGGGATGAAAACAGAAAGAAGACTCATCCTTGGTGCAAGTGATGCCAACCAATAGGCTTGTGGCCTGGGCAGAATAAAAAGAGAAAGAAGAAGGAGGTCTGTCCTTCAGAGGAGCTCTGGGCTCGGCCATTGCCTGTGAGCCTTGGTCTCCAGCTCCCCCGTGCGGGCTCCTAGCCTTCCAGCGAGGCTCCTCAGCCTGGGGTTTGCACCTCACTCTGCAGGGAGCGCCAGCTTCAAGCTGTGACCGGTTCTTCAGCCCTGAAGCCTGCAAATGGCCATTCCACACCCCTCCAGCTCTCACCGCTCAGCTGGCCACCCTATGCCTTGCTGGCTAGTCTTTTGTGTAATCATATGTATTTTATATTGATTAAATCTGTTCCTCTAGTGATCCTTAACAAACATAAATTGAAAATAATCAAAGGATGCTCTATGCATGTACCAGTATGCTAAAACAAAACCCATTAATTTCTGTTACTAATATAAGTGAAAAAATCTTCCTCAGCATAGACAGACCTACCCTATTCTTCCCTGACGGACCCTGAAGCAAATCTAATTACTATTTTTACAACATTTTATTTGTGTATTTATTTGGTACAGGTCTTGATATGCAGCTCAGACTCATAGTGATTCTCCTGTCTCAGCCTCCCCAGCACTGGGGTTACAGGCACGCATCACCACACCCAGTTTCGGTGGCATGCATGGTATGGGGCCAGCATGGCATGCAGTATACAGTACCAGGGATTGAACCTGGGTCCTTGCACTTGCCAGGCAGGTGCTTAGACCTCAGAGCTATCTCCCCAGCCCTTAATTGCTGTTTTTACAGAGTGTGTTAAACACAAAGAATGCAGGGACCACTGACAGCTATTCCTCCTTGAGTGTCCCTGTCCCCGAGTCCCTCTAAGGCTTTGTGATTGCACTTCTCTGGTTTACTCTGCAGTGTTTAAATTGTTTCCCAGTAATCTCTGCCACTTTTATAATTCAGTCACTCCTCAAATCACATTTTTACCCAGATTTCTGTACTAAGCGCCAGAATGCTTTATACATCTACCTACTGTGCCCACAAACTTTCCAAACTCAATTAGGATCAAAATAAAACTCCTGCCCTTTTCCCACCCAAACCTGTCACTCCTCCTGTAAGGACCACCTTGACCATACTTCTCAGTCACCCCAGCTTCTCATACCATCTTTAAATGTATTTCAACACATCCATTCCTCTCCATTCTTCCTGGCCGTCAGGACTTGTGGTCTTGGTCACCACCATAGTTTCCTTACCTTTTTTCTCCCTAGGTAGGCTGTGTCCCTGCACCCCAATATCAAATCTGCTGCCAGAAGAGTTGATCTGGAATACAGACCAACACCCACACTCCTGCACATCCAGAGGCCTGGCCCTGCCTGGCAACTGCCCGCTGGGCTCCGCCATTCTGCCTGGAGTGCTGAGCGCACCTGCTGCTTGGTGAGGCCAGTCAAGCATCGCCTCCTCTTGCAAGCTGTCCTGCATTCTTCTGAGCCCCCCCCCCAAAAAGGCCCACCTTGTCCCCTCTCTTTGTCTTCTTTATCACCACACATTCCTATAATCGCTTGTCTTTACTTTGCTGCACACTCCCCACTCTCCAAACCCAGACCAGTTCCTGGTGCCAGGGATGAAGTCTGGGCTGTCTGCAGTCCAGGGTGTGAGACAGGACTGACACACAGAAGCACTCAGGGACCCTTGGGGTCCATGGGTGGCTGGATGGGCAAAGGACCAGAGGGAAACACTAAGGCCCCCCAAGAGCTGTTTGGTCATTTGATTGCCTTATTCCACGTACAAACTTTTCTTCATCAAAGGCAGAGAAAAGACAGACAGCAGTCATCTTGAGGAACATAGAGAATTTGAATTTGGAATTAAATATTATATTTAATTAAATATTAAATAAATATTATTAAATATTATTAAAGTTATACATGAACTATAAACCAACAAATCTACCGGAGTGTATGGTTCTGGGTGGTAATATATTTAAATGACATCTCCCACCAAAAAAGTTTACTCAGAGAACTCTAAATGGAAAAGACATTGAATGTTATAGTGCTGTTTTTGGATTCAAGAGGTAAGATTTGGGCTTTTACATCCTGTGCCCCTGGGGTTGAAAAGCCAGTGGTTCCTTTCTATGTGGCTGTGGGAACTAGTGTTTCACCTGGTGCCTACTGCCCCCTAGTGTGAGGCTCCAGGGCTGCACAGAGAATCCTTTAATTCCCAGCATGCACTTGTGTTTCTAAAACATGTGGCCTTTATCAAAAGCTTATTTTTGTGCCCTCCAGGACCATTTCAGAAAGGAAGTAATGTCAGAA